AAATTGCAGCTGCACTTTAGAGCACAAATTTACATCGAAAAAGTCTCTTCTTGTTTTCATCCACTGCTTCCAAGTTAATGAGCTGTGACAAGATCATGAGCAATATGTTAACTTTAAAGTAATATGTTTTTATTGTTAATTTTAATGCAAATTCCACAAGCAAGATGGCAATATGAAATTTAATCTTATGAATGCTCCAAGGGAGTAATTAAAATAGTTAAACTTTGTAATAAAAAATAGTATTTAATATCTACAAACTATACACACTGTCATTGATTCAATCAGCATTCTTTCTCTACTGGATATACATCAAAGTATTTGATTACTTTTCAATATTAAACATACTTCACTATGAAATTAACAAGCATTCTTTTTTTAAGTACAAGCCATGAGTTATTTTCATGTAACTTGTCAGTCATAATGTATCCAGTTAAGGAAATATATATTTCTCTTAATTTTTATGCTACATCTTCTAGGGAAAGGGTACGTTCGATTGATGCTGTTTCTCCTACAAATTTGGGAAATTTCTATTGACTACACATAGGTACATTTAGATCCTAAACTTTTTAACATATCCATCATGTTCACATACTTTATAAAAAGACCAGTGTGTATCTCTAATTTTATTATGTTCTTATACTCATTACTATTATTTATAATTATTTAATGCAGACAGTAAATATGTTACGCTTTGGAAATATTAGTGGAGAAATCATGGAGATATTTATAGGGGAAAATTCAGTATGCCAAATGCTACATTAATTCTTTCAGAAAATAATGGTAGAAAACCTAGTGTACTATGGTATACTGTGTAAGGAATATTAAGAAGGCTGTCTCATGCTTTAAATTCTCAGAATAATACAACTTTTGGAAAAGATGGTTGTTATCCTGGGTCTAAAGAATGGCTAGGATTTTAGTAGTACAGGAAAACAACCAAAAACTTTCCAAGGCAGAAGATAAGTATAACCAAACATTTAGAGGTAAAAACGAGTATATTGTGTTAGAGGGACAATGAGAGAGATAATATTTTAAGAGAAAATAATTTTCACATTACAATGCTAAAATATAAAGTAAAAAAAAATTCTGAGTGTATGTATATGAATATTTTTCTGGGAAGATCAAGGATAAATATTTTCTCAAAAAGATGCATTAACTCAAACTGTTTGGAGTTCTGTGTGTAAGGAAGAAATACTTATCTTTTAAAATCAGAGGTGGAACATAATGAAAAAATCCCATAGCTAGTGTCACATGTGTTGAATAGTTTTCAAAACTGAAAAAAATTCTTTGTTGTTGAAAATTAAAAATAAACTTTTAGGGGCCGGCCCCATGGCCGAGTGGTTCAAGTTCCATGCACTCCACCTTGGCAGCCCAGGCGTGGACCTACACCACTTGTCAGCCATGCTGTGGCGACAATCCACATATAAAGTAGAGGAAGATTGGCACAGATGTTAGCTCAGGGCGAATCTTCCTCAGGGAAAAAAATTTAAAAAAATAAACTTTTAAACAATAGTGGCAAAGGGCAAAGATTCTAATGAATTGTATAGCAAAGTTCAAATGAACTACATGAATGACAGAGAATGACTATTTGGACAAAGGAGATAAGCATTACCATCAATTCATTTGTCTTCTCATTTTAGAGAGTGTTTAACCAATATGAGTCTGTTCTGGCAGAAGTGGTCTTATACGGCTAAATTTCTTCTACTTGTTAAAATTTAGCACAATGTTTGAATTACAGCGGTACGAACAATCAAGGAATTGTTTTTCACCATTTATGAAGTACTCAGTATTGTAGGAAAAAAACTTATGTGAATCAGGGCACACCAGCTAGACACTGAACCTTATGACCTTTACCTGAAAAACAAGCAAATAGTAGAGGAATTAAATTATATTACATATGCAAAGTACTTAGCACAATAATTGTTTAGCAGGCTCAATTATTGAAAAATAATAAATTCTCTTAAGATACACTTCTGCTTTCTAGAGAATCTCCCCTTTTATCATTCCAGTCTAGTAGCTGTCAACTTTAACAGTGGAATATAATATCTTCGTCAGGTAGTCTTCAAACAGTTGGGGTGTAAATTTAAAACAGGATTAAAGAGAAGGATTTCGTGGCCTGACAAATCAAAACTGCATCTCTTTTTGTATAGTCAATTACAAATAAAATATCTCAGCACTTAAATTGAATGCTTAGTTTAGATTTGATAACCCTAATGGGTAGTAATCCTATTCTGATATTTTACAGGTAAAATATTAAAACAAAAATGTAATACAGTCACCTTGTATGCACATTGATCCTCAGTAAATCAGCTTTTCAGATAAGTAGAAATTTATCTTTAGAGATGTTAGTGTTAACTTGAATAAAACAGAATCACCCTGATCATATTATATATTGTCTTCTGTTGACATTTTTCTGTTACCAAAAAAATAGTGCTTGCCTTACTGAACTTTTTCTTTCTCTCTTTTGTGCAATCCAAGAAACACCTTTGTATTCCTCTCAATTTCAAGGTCCTTGTTCTCCTCCTCACCATCATCCTTATTTCTCTCTCTCTCTCTTTCTCTGTCTCATGCTCTCTTCTCCCCAACCCTCTTTCTCCATCCCTCCCCCTTTCCCTCCTTCTCCTCCTCCCCCCTTCCCTTCTGACCTCCCTCTCTCTAATAAGTAGAGACAGATTTTTCCTTTCACTTTTTGGGGTTGTACTTCTTGAATGTAAAATAGTTAGAGGACTCTACTCTTATTTTTCTCTTCTGCACTGGCCCGTTGAATCATTCATCCAAAGTCTGCCGCCTGCTTAACAGCTATAGCACTGTGGGTGACCCTTTTTCATAAAAATGTTTTAATATTATCAAGTTAAAAAGAACATTTTGACAGAGGGTAGATGTTTATTATCTAAAAAATACTAACTTCAATTTTCCTTTGTAATTGTTTGTTCTTTAGTACTTGAAATATGTATTCGGTAAAAATTTAATTTTCACACAATTTTTTATTATTATTATTATGCCATATGAGGAACAATTACTGGGTTTATTTTTACATATATACTCAAAAATGCCATTTTTTGTTTATATCAAGTTCAAATTTTATGATTTCTTTAACCATATTTTTGGTAAAGTTTCTCTAAATTATTTCTATCTCCTAAATTTAAGATACCCTATAATTAAAAAAACCATAACAGTGGTTCAGTTAGTCCTAAAACAGAAAAAATGAGAGACAAATCACTTTTTCTAGTGTTACTCTTAAATTACTCCCATAACCTCATATCTATATCTTTTCCATTCATTTTAATTGCTTTAAGATTCAGATAACTGGCTAAACACAAAGTATTCTATGTACCTTATGAATTTAGCCACAAAAATAATGTCAAGAAATTAGGTAGTAAATATTCTTATGATCCCTTGTAATCATTGAATATTTTAATAAAATTGAATAAGTACTAAATTTAAATAAATTTCAATTAAATAGCCCCTGCGCGTCACTGATGTTTTTATTAGGGAGAAGCAACGGGTGGCTTTGTGGAGAAAGCACAGGGAAGAGTCCGGGGGCAGGGTTTCTCTTGACTAGCTATGTGAGCATGGAAAGGATAATTAACCTCTTTGAGCCACAGGTTCCTCATTTTTAAAACTGATATATTACAACTGCACTATCAATTCCATGGCATTTTTGTGAGAACAAAATGACAAAATGAATGTGAAACTGATTTGTAAATTGTAAAGCACTATGTCAATACAACTTGTTGTCATTATTATTGTTCTTATGTTGATATGGAATTAGTTCTGTAGCTAACAAAAATATAAAGTAGAACAAAGTCAATAATTCATATTTGTATAAGAAAATGATTTCCAATTACACAAGAAGGTAATAAAAAAATAAGTGTTAAAGTATTATATTTTCCAGCTTTTAAAAGTCATTTCTTTTATGAGTTTTGAAATGATGTTATTATCTAAACATCTTAATTATTAAGGAAAACTACTACTAATAATATTTCCTAATATTTCACATTTAGTTCAATCATGAAAGAAAATGATATATTATAATTTAACCAACTATCTAGGAATCTAATCCAAAGACAACATTCTTGTTTTCTTTTCTTAAACAAGAATGGAGGTAGTAAATAAGTTACTAAGTCATGTATGAGCTGTACATGACTTAGTAAATATATGCAAACTAAAGAAATGCATATATTTGCATTTCTTTTATTCTTGCTTTAAATATTGTTTTCTTAAATTATTGATAGAGGTAATTAATATGAAGGCAGTATCCATCCTGGTGGTGTTCTTTTTTTTTAATTTCACATCTTAGATATTTTTTAAAGCAAATTAGTTGAAAATATATGGCATCTTCTTTGAAACTCAATTGGACATTCCTAATCAAAGGTGAATTATCTTGTCAGTGTTCATAATAAAACCCGATGGTCCCTACAGGACTCTAAGATAAATTTAAGGACTTATTTTCTGGGAAAAAGTCCAAACTCTGGGATAGTGATTGTTTTTATTATGTAAAAAATTATATTTGTAACCTAATGCAATGACAATTTCTGAACTCATTTTTAGGACTTTGAAATTGTTATTCATCAAGTTTGATGTGAAGCCCAGAAATCACTTTGAGAAATACTAGTCTAGAAAATATATTCTGCCTTTCCATAATAATACAGGAGTAAACTGTATAGGAAATGATTTATTGGATTTATGTTTTATAAAGGATTGTGAACAATTGTGAACACAAGTGAAAAAAGATATCCGTAAAGTATTAAACAATTTTGAAAATTTTTTTTCATTTTATCAATATGTCCTAACTTCAATATCTATGCTTAATATTGGGGGCTAGAAATTAATCTTTTAAATAGTGAGTACTAACTGTTCCTATTTGAGATCTTAAAATTGTCTAAAAGTGACTTTTACATTATTTACTATACTATAAGATTCCACTATTAAATTAGTGATTCTTAAGCCAGTATCATTTTTTTCATCATTCATAACAAACTGCTTTCTTTCCCATGTACTAGGGCTCACCAGGAGAACGAGGATCAGCAGGTACAGCTGGCCCAATTGGTTTGCCAGGGCGTCCAGGACCCCAGGGTCCTCCTGGTCCAGCTGGAGAGAAAGGTGCTCCTGTAAGTAATTTCAAGGAGAAAATATATTATACTGCCATCCTGCACAAGTTATTACTTTTTATTCAAGGATATTAGCTCTTCATACTCCACTGCATTCTCTTTGCATATGTGCCAGGCATATAAGCACAACTCGTTTTATATTTATAATAGAGAAAATTTCAAATTCAATTAAATGAGATGACATTTTCCCACACTTTATGAAGCTCTAGTGCTTGTGAGGGAGTTGGGTATTATTAATGTAAAAGGCTTCTGATTTTTCTCCTTTTAAAAAATAAAATTGGAGTTTTGATTAAAACTATACCTAGCTGCTTTAGATTAGAAAAGGGTGCACTTTTCACTCCTCTTGTAATACAACTTCATTTCCAATCATTTCCATAGTCTGTAAAAGAAACCTCTAGAAAGTGGCTGCCTTTCTCATGTAATTTGAGTTTTGATCTACAGTGAATGAGGTGGGAAACATCTGACCAATTATTTTATCTTATATTTATTGGATTTTAAAATTTTATATCAAAATGATTATGGACTATATTCTATTCATTTGGCTTATGTTTCTTCATCAAGATTTCTTGCCTATTTTTTTCCTGCTTTTGATTTAATCATATTAATTTTCTAAAAAAAATCATTCTCTCATCCTCCAAGATTAAAACACAAACTCATTCTGTAAATGTAGATAAAAATTGCTGACCATAATACACAAAAATATGAGTTTAATTCTTTTGTATATGCGTAAATCTTGACATATATAATCTAGTTTAAGCCTGTAATTTTCAAAATACTTTTTTATCACTAAGACTTTAGTTTTAGCAGGTTGATTCAGATTTAGAAATTTGCTTTTATTGTCTATGCATTTTCTCTCATTACTATTTGTGATATTATTCAAGTGTTTCCAAATTGAAATGATTGTTTTCTGTAATCTGTTACATTTCAAAAGCATTTAGAATATTAGAACGGGGCCATGCCACCTATGGATACAATTTTTGGGTGACAGAAAAAGTAGTTCTAATTGCTGAGAATTTTTTTAAAGCAATATATTTCCAGATTAGTAAATTTGTTGAAAATTTAGACATTATTTTCTGAGATATTGATAGACAACTATGAAAAAATTATTTTTTGCCTCCCTCTTACACGTTCTATTAATTTTCAACCAACATCAGAAACTAAATATTTGTCCAAAAAACTTTTATAGAATACTGTGCACTGGGAGGGGTTAGAAAAGACATAGCTTCAGGCCCTTTAATACAAGTTCATTCAAAAATCCGGGGCAACCATATCTTGGCCCAGCACAATGAAGAATGCATTCAGAGAAAAAGGATATACATTGTTTTTTAATACAAATTCAGAGTATACTAGAGAAGTCAAGAATTCTGTGAAGATAATATATTGAATGCTGGGTTTTAAAGTGGTTAAATACCTTGACTTTATGAAGAAAAAGTAAAATATTGAAATAAAGACAGGCATATGGAAAAGTACTGAAAATCATAATAAGAAATTAATTTGGTGAGATAGAAGAGAAATTATTGACAGAAGCCCTTGTAAGAACTAAGATTTGGGCCTGAGTTTTATTAATGATTGATGATGTTATGACTAGGAAGGGAAAAAGGAATGCTCTGCCCATCTGTTCTCTCTCAATTATTCCCACCACCAATAAAAATTCCAAGATGTTCATTCTATTGTTCTTTTATTCAACAAAGTTATTGGAACAACTATGCGCTAGACAGTGTACTAGGTAGTATTTTTGAAGAAGGTGTCTATTTAGGGATAGTAGCATATAATGGGTATAAAAGTTTGGGTAAAAGTACCCATAGACCTCAATGCAGAGGTTTAGTAAAAACTGATGGAAACGTTGACTAAGATGTTAAATGCAACCTTTTACTTCTTAAACCCAAATATAAATTGTGAATCTTAATTCCTTTGAACAACTTATGTTATAAAAATGCTGTGTAATTATCAGCAGGTTAAGCCTTGCATGAAGAAAGAGAAAGACAAGATGAGGGTCTGTGGAAAGCAGTCTTTGGTCCACTTATCCACTAACACACTTCCTTGGGAGGGAAAAAGGGAAAACAAGAGCCGTGAATATCCACATGACTTACTTATGGCGGTAACTGTGGCCAAATCTGTATCCCCAAATTAATCAATCAGATTAAAAACTCTGGTGGGGACAGTGCTGGAAGGCAGGTAATGAGAAAAAAGCTAAAACCTCTTCTAACATACTGCATTGGTAGAAATATTTTGATGGGGAGAATGATTCTTGAAGAAAACTATTAATTGTATTAGGGAGGCACTGGATTCAAAGATTAAGATAGGAAGCTATGTTGAGAATTTATCCATTTGGGAGACAACTGTAGAAATGGAAAAAAAAAAAAAATGCCAGGTCCAAAACACAATGAAGGCAATGTATTAACCATAAATGGATTAGGCAATAGTAGTTGGAGATATGAGAAAAAAAGCTGTTTACAGTCTCAAGCATATATGCATATAATTGCAGAGAGAATGATTAGTGTCAGTGTTGTAAATCAGGGAGTTATTTAGAATAAGAGTGATGTTAGGAAGCATATTATTGAATTCCCATGTGAAGCAATATTGAGAGAGGAGAATAGAGATTTGGATTCACTCTTGAGGTTGAATCATGATGGTAGGAGTTTTTTAAGGATCCAGTAAGGAGAGGTAGAGTAGAAGAGTCCATGAGCGATAGACAATGTCTCCAGGGGCACACCATCATGTAGGCCAAGAGGGAAAAGAGTCTCCTTTGTTGCGTGGTGTAAAAGATTAAGAATAGTGAAAGCTGAGAAAAAACAAAGAGAGACCAAGACTTGGCCAACTGGTCATTTATGACTTGAGGGTAATTATAGCAGTGGGGTTCAAAAAGAAGGTGGAGGATAAGGGAGTGGAAAAGTACACGTAGAACGCCACGAGTAAGCCATGGGGCTGAAGGAAGAGTGGGGCTGTGGCTGGAAGTACTAGCAGAATTGAATGCATTGCCTCTTATTATTGTTACTGTAATGCACAGATATTTATGTACTTAACCAATAATAAGAAAAGAATCAGTGAAAAGTGAGGAAATTAAGGGTGTCAGAGGAGACTAAGACTGCTGGATTCGAACCAATCAAAACTGATTTGAGAGCTCAGTTCTATCATTTATTTAGTTCATGATTTTGGCTAAGGTATTTAACATCTCAAAACCTCTGCTTCCTCATTTTTGAAAAGAAGATAGCCCCAATATTTTGTGAGGATTAGATAAAATTGTAGCTTGAAATCACTTTGTAGAATCATGATAATTGTTCAGTGAATAATTATCATCATCATCATCATCATCGTCATCATCATCAGTGTGTGAACCAGAGTTGTCATAAAAAAGGATGAATTAGTAACCAGAAAATAAATGCATAAATTGGCTTTTGAATAAGGAGGGATGGACTCTGTGAATTGTAATAAAAGTTGAGGGTATAAATATAGGCTACATACAAGATCATGTCAAGTCAAACATAGGACTTGGGGATGAGTAGATAATTGTTTCAATTTTTTAAGGTAGGATTCAGCTATTAATATTAATGAAAGAGTAGAAATGATGAAATAAAGAATGCTTAGAGAGAGAGAGATGGATGATGTTTCTGGCGGTCCTATAGGTTGTGGGCCAAGAGATACATAATGGAAGAAGAGTTTGTCATCTTGCAGAGTTGTAAAGGAAGAATCTAAATGTAGAGTGGTGGAGATCAGTTGAAAGATTTTTTCTGACTCCACACAGACCAGGATCAGAAGAAATAAATGGCGGGTGATTCCTGGCTGGAGATTATGTGTGCTATAATGAAGGCAGATAAGAATTAATCTGTCTTATTTACAGATCCCCTTATATAAAATAATTGATTTTTGGAGTTCAGGCTCACAAGGAAATCTAAATTAAAGAGAAATATGTGAATCAGCTGATGTGTTTAAAATAGTGAAGTTCACTGTGAATAGCACAGCACACTTTATGATTATAGGTAGGTTTGAGATATAGTAATATTTGATGAAGGAAATAAAAAGTCTCCAAGGTGACATCAGGAGTATGTTTTAAATGATAATTATGACATAGTTTTGAAAAATAAGATCTTACGGAACCCAGGAAAGTATAAATCAGAGCTAACAAGTTAACTTTGTTTTATAGATTTTTTTGTTGTCATCAAGTAATTAACTCAACAAATATTCCTTAGGTGGCTACTTGGGGTCATAGACCAGAGGATGGGGCAATTAAATAATATGAAGAATCAACAGGTGCATGTAGAATTATAAACTCTGGTTAGTGATATGAAGGAAATACACTGCTGTACGTCAGCTTATAACAGAAGGACCTGAGCTGGAATTAGGGCCTGTCCTTGGACAGGACATTGATGGTGGAATGTAAAAGATGAGGAGGAATTAACTAGTTGAAGGGTCCTCCCGGGAGCCTTCCAGGCCAAAGGAACAACATGTGCACAGGTCACGTGATAGGGGAGGCGTGGAATCAGGTTTTACTGAAAGAAGGTCTGCGGAGTTGGAATGCAGGAGTAAGGGCCAGAGGAGGCTAGATGCTGCTGGGCAGGTAGTAGGAGCCAGATAATGATAGGGACACTATCAGGTCTATCTTTATTTTAGGAATGGCAAACAAGTAAATTGACTGAAGACGGTTGGTAAGATGATCTGATTGTCCCTCTGGTTACAGCATGGGGAATACTTTGGAAGTAAGAGTAGGTGTAAGAAAGGAAGAAGTTTATTTAATCAGTTCAGAGGAAGGCAGTTAGTATTTTGCAGTAAGGTGTTACTGGTGGAGAAGAAGTGAAGTAAATATATTCAAGAGATAAAATTTACTCATTGTAAAGGGGTAGAAGGTGGTGAGGGCAGGGATTGTGGGGAGCAGGATAATGCAGAGGTAGGGGCTAATGACTTGTGGATTCCCAGCTTGTGTAACAGGAGGAGAGAGAGAACCGCTGAGTGCAATCAGGAATAGACCTTGTGCCAAACTGATGAAGTCTTGACTTATAGGAAATAATTTACTTTAAACTCTGACAGGATTTTTTAATGGAAAATAGAGTCTTCATTATCAAGGCACTATTTTTTTTTAATTACACAATATAGGTAAATTTTAAAACAGGAAAATAATTCCGTCGTCAAAAAATAAACCAAAAAAGCTAACAGCCTTGTCATTTTGAGTAGGTAAAAGTGGCAATGAATTAAAATATCAAAATCTAGGAAAATACATGAAACATTTGTTAAAAATAGAACAAGGTTACACATGAAGCATACTGTAAGGTTGGGCATATGAGGAAATTCATTTTATGATTTTTTAGGCCTAATCACCACTGCACGGCTGTTTCAGTAGCACCGCTGAGGAAGAGGAAAGGCTCAGGGAATTTGACGTTTCTTACAGTCAAGTGATGATCTGCTGGATTTTTCATACAGGGAGAAAAAGGTCCCCAAGGGCCCGCAGGGAGAGATGGAGTACAAGGCCCTGTGGGTCTCCCGGGGCCTGCTGGGCCTGCCGGCTCGCCTGGAGAAGATGGTGACAAGGCTAGTATTCTTTATTCCTATTAGTGCATCCTGTGAAAGATAAATTTTCCTCAAGAATCCTCGATTTAATCACTTTTAAGATGAGAGGCCAAATTTAAAGATATCTCTTTCAAAGTTTCATGCATCTTGCCTGTACTCGAAAATTTTATTTTAGAGGTTGAGAATTAGTATCTATCCCGTGAAATAAGATGTGGGATGTAAACAAGAAAAGGGAATACAAGAACAATGGTAGTGAGGAAAAAATAGCAGATGCCAGAATTGCTTATTTATTTTTAAGTAAACATGTTTCTGAAATAAATGTGAAATTAGTTGAATTAATTACTTGTATATATTTAGCCCTCGTGTCTTGGATATTGCAGAGTAAGACTTAAGAATAGCTCATGCATGTTTGATAATCCTTCTCTATCTTTTACTAACATGTAAGTAAGGGTTCTAAACTCTTGATTCTGAATGTATAGCTGCGTTAAGCGTTTGATTTTAATGTATTCTCTAATATTATTGTGAAATGCTATAACAAAATTTGTGAACCAGTAGTCTGACAATGTGCAACATTTTAGCATTTGGAAAACTATAAAAAAAATAAAGTAATTTTTGTTTAATATGTAATTTTGGTATAAATCAATGTACTTCCATTATCAGTTTATAGTGGTAATATTTCAGACAAAATCGATTTGTGAATTAAAAATCCAGCTGTAATATTCCTCAGAGTTCAGTTGACTTTTGTTTGTCTATGTATTAGTCAATACTAGAAAACGGTATTAGTCAATACTAGAAAGCAAGAAGCAGAGGGAAGCCAGCTTTTACCATTTAAACAGTGACATTAAACACCAGCACCTAATTACATTAAAGTTTAATAATGAGATGATAGTGATGACAATGCAATGGCAGGTATGGCATATCAGAGATAAACTTTAACGCAAATCTTTCTAATACAGGGTGAAATTGGTGAACCGGGACAAAAAGGCAGCAAAGGTGACAAAGGAGAAAATGTGAGTTTCTTCCTTCTTATTGAGGGGGCATTATTCATTTAATTCCTTTTGCTGTTAACCATAGATATTTTTCCATAGTACTACTTACTTACCTTTCCAAAGTTTATCATATCAGGACTATATTACCTCTGGGGTAACTATTCAGTTTGGGATTCAGTCAATTCTAATAACACCTTTTTTCAAAGTTATGTGTTAAGATATGCAATAGTTCCAACCCTAGAAGCCTCAGAATGAGACTAAGGCACCAGCAATTCCACCCTCCATCGATTTTGCATCATTAGTTCAAATTTCCATATGGTTTAAAGACAAAGAATGTCTTAGAGTTTCTATGAAAAGAATTTTGACCTACTGGAAACCTGAAAGGGTCTTGCTTTCAGAACCTTTGCTTTAAGCACTCTTCCCAACATGTGGCGGTTATGATAAAGAATAATACAATCCAATGGCTCTTTTGTCTTTAGTGTTTGGATCTTTTATAATGTCTAATCAGTTATTTATGTAAAAAAAAAAGACAGTTGAGAGGAAATATTTATGCATGTAAGATTCATGAACCTATTGAAATCTATTGCTCAAAATAAAGAGTTCTGGTATACTTAATATATAACACTGAGTTTGCATGTGTTTACATATGAAGAAAATTCTAAATTTTCTTATATCACTACACTGTATAGAATCCCTTGCATCCTAATATTCATTTAGAAGATGGCATATAGATGAATTTTTCATGTGCTATTTCCGACTCATACATATCTCATTAAAGAAATCTGGTATTTTGAAAATTTTTCAATGTGAAACTTTGAAATCCATTAGCATAAAATTCCATTTTTAAATATCCACCACATTACAGATGAGAGTGCTTTTGATAACTGCCAATTTGAAATTGATTGCAAATATGCAAGTCTGAATCTCAAGGAGTAAAATAAAGAATGGTTGGTTGCACTAAATGCAAAAAACTTTCTGTTTTTTCCAAAGAAATATAGAGATGCTTAATAGATTTTGATCAACCAAATGTTCCGCACTACATAGCTGAGGCTCTTCTGGCTTCAATTTCTTAATTGCTGATTTCTGTCTCACTGCAGGGTCCTCCTGGTCCCCCAGGTCTTCAAGGTCCAGTTGGTGCCCCTGGAATTGCTGTAAGTATTCCTCTTTGTTCAGCAAATCTAAATCCTTACAGTTCCCTGATGAAATTTATGAGCTGTCACATAACCAGTCGATTTCACGTGGTGATCAGTTTGTTTGTATGCTTAACATTGAATCAAATTTAAGTTATCTAATATAGCTAACCAAGCTGATCTTTATAAATAAAAAACATGAATTTATTTAAAAATAGATAATAACCAGTTGAGAAGTACTTAATTTATAGTAAATTCTGAACATTATTTTCCCCCTTATTAGGCAGCTTTTACTTCACTTGGTATACATGAGAAAATCAAAATTAGTTATACTCCAGAAACTCCATACTCCAGAAGAGAATGTAAGCCAAACATACAATGGAATATTTGCAGCAGATAATGAAAATTTAATCTACTTTTTACTTGGTTACTTGCAAATAGACCAGCTTAAATTAGACGTGGCTATAATTTTATGATGACTTGTATCAGAATCATGATACAAGTGATCATTTTTATTGCTCTTCTCTAGGGAGGTGATGGTGAGCCAGGTCCCAGAGGTCAGCAGGGGATGTTTGGACAAAAAGGTGATGAGGGTGCAAGAGGTTTCCCAGGACCACCCGGTCCCATAGGTCTTCAGGTAAGACGCTCTCTGCATTGTGTACTCTGTCATTTCCACCTACTTCTCAGACAAGTTTTCTGGTGGATGTAAAACAAAGCGACTTTCCTTTTTTCTATGTGGGAACCTGCGTGCCATGTTTAACCATAATGATTGCTTTACTTAAATGTACATCTGAACTTCAATTGCTTTGTATCAATTATTATTAATTTTCTGAAGCTCTATCAGCCTTGGTTCCTGTCTCTGGAGTTTATTTAGCCCCACCTTAGATATCACATCTCCTTTTTCCATTCTCATTTTGTTTGAAAAATGAACGACAACCTTATTTAAGTCTGATAGTTAAAAGTAAGATGTTAGAGGGTTCTTTCACAAGTCTCACAGCAGGAAAATTAGTACTTCAGAGAGCCAACAAAAATTGAAAGCATTTTGAGAAATAGCAAACTGCTAATCACATCTACTAACAGAAACTGCCAACAACAGATGTTAAACCATAATAGGTAAAATAACAAGTTAACAGTACATTGATCATTTAAAATAACTTATTATTTAAAATTATAATTTGTATTTTACGAAGCACATTCAAGAGAGGAAATATTAAATTATAAAATGTAGGCTAAGAAGTTTCACTCAAATATGTCTTACGACTGGTCTCTTAGGCAAAGTATTGCATAGTAGACATCTCCATTCTGAGTTGTTTTTCCACACTTCCGTGTGATGTTCACTGCTTCGGAAACATCTGACTTTCTTCTTCCACTTGCTTATTCTATCACTACATACTGATCCTCTGAAAGATTATAAAATTTTGTTTTACATGATATTTGAGTACCAAATGAATATTAGTTATACCACATTAGCAAGTTCAGAAATGGTCAAGTTAAATCATCTTGTTCACCGCACTTAAAAATTTGTGAAGTTGTAGAAAGTAAATAGAAATTGAATTTATATAAATTTAATTTTTATCTTTACTTTTCATAAGTAAACTCACAGAATATTGGTTTTTTAATATTAAATAGCTTATTATGTACATAAGTATACAAATTACATTGTAAACAATATAACTAATTATATTATTGTAACTATAATTATTATAACTCAATGGATGTCTGCTGGTGAGCATACTATAATTTTCTGCTTTTATTTTAATGCCAAAATAATTCTTTTTAAACTTGGAAAATGCAGAAACTTCATTTTCATATTTGTGTGTAACTCTTTTATACTCATTAGACAATAATAAATAAACAATCCTGAGTACTACATATCAGTGTGTGTGAGAAGCACACATATTTGAAAACAACAAGGCATTAAAAGTTAGATTGCCAATGGATAGGTTACCATTCATTTTCTGCTTTTTCATTTAACTGATTACTCTGAATTCTATAAGGTTGTAATTTAGGAATTTAGTTCTCATGATTAAAGAAGATGCCTTGTAGCTTATATTTATAAAATATTTTAAAAAATTGTCTTCATTTCCGCAGTGTAAGAAATGTGCTCTTTGATGAGTGTTACTCAAGAAAGCAGTTCACTAAAAAATTGATTATAATTTCCCACAGCTACCTCTTTAAATGAGGACTCTAACAAGATGCTAATGTAATTAATGTGTTCACAATTGCATCTGCATCCTTTAATTCAGTCTTTGTAGCATAATAGATTAACAAGTATAATAGACAAAATCATAATAATCTAATATTCTGGCTAAATGATGATTTTTCAATTTGATGTTTCCTATTTGCCTGTATAGGAAGGAGACATATAGAATGAGAGTTCTGAGACTAAATTATTTTTCATTTCATCACTTAAGTGGCAAATGATTTTAATTTGACAGACCAAAACAGAACCTCCCCATGCATAAATTACTTTCTAGGGGAAAGCTAGGACATATGAAAACTGGAGTGCCATTTAGCATATTTAGTTCCCTGCAACAAGAGAATTTGACTCATTATGTCTCTATTAGTTTTAATAATAAGAACATTCTGTGTTAATAAACTCAAACTATAATCAAACTTCATCAAAAATAAGTGAATATTTCATTTTTTTCTACTGGCAAGTTCCTATTGAACTAATATTAGGAATAATCATATGCATAAAGGAAAGATGGCAATGCAAAGCTAGGCTTGTTATAGAAATAAAAGAAAACTATGAACTAATATTTATATGCCCTTCAATTTGGGGATCCGAAATGAGATTCACTCTATACTAAAAGAAAATGGAAACCTGGACAAAAGATAAGGAATATAATTGTTAATATATATGGTGTTTATAAGAACTTATGTTTAAGTTGCAAGAAAATGGACTTTAGAAAATGGACTTGAAATATTTATTTCATCTGTGTTAAAATCTACTTGAGTGTTTAAGAATTTAAGTTCACATGCTCTATCAATGAATTAGAATCTTTGAGGTTGTGAATCTTGGAATTGAAAAGTTTAGCAATCTCACCCATGCAACTTTTAGGCAGACTAAAATCCGAAACACTGCCTGGCTATTTCCTCCCAGGGACTTCTTTAGTAATTCTAGAAGCTACCATTAGATGATGGTAACCGTGTGGGAAGTTCATGTAACAGAACATTTTCCTAGATATCTAGCTGACATTTGAAAAAAAAGAAATGCAATTCGGTATATGTTGTCCCTTATAAATCAGTAATTAACATTTCCTCATAAAAATGAGTATATGCTACATTACAAATAAGTTTACAGATATACTCAGTAAAGCAACCTCTCTCCAAACTGAGAGTAATGTGGAATTAGTAGGTCCTAAAAACAATTTAGTGGGTTATTACCAGCATTAAAATAAATGAAATATAACATAATAAGTTAGAATAGAATAAAAATATCAAAGATCATCATCTACACATTAAGGGTAAATATTACTTTTTGAAACTCATGTTTTAGCTATTTTGCATGTGCACATTTAGGGAGTAATAAGTAAAATGTATTTATTACCATGGGTCACGGTCAAATAATTTGCAGCCACTGCAGTGTAGTGCCAAGTCAATAATTTTATTAAAGTACCAGCGGAAATTTAGGGCTTTTGTATTGTGTGTTTTTTATTTCTTAAATAAATTACATCTGAAATAATATTGTGCAAGCAATAAAATATATAGATAGTGTGTAAGATGTAGTATATAAATAATGATAACCCTAAAAACATTAAAAAACTAAAACAATCCATAATCCTACCATATTAAAAACTATTACCACTTTTAGGGGCCGGCCCCATGGCCTAGTGGCTGAGTTCAGCATGCTCCGCTTCAGCAGCCCAAGTTTGGTTCCCTGGCATGGACCTACACCACTCACCAGCATCCATTCTGTGGCAGCCACCCACATAAGAGCTAGAGGAAGATGGGCAGAGATATTAGCTTAGGGAGAATCTTACTCAGCAAAAAAAAACTATTACCACTTTTACTACTTCTGTCCAATAATTATCATACCCATTTTAAATACATATTTTACAGTTAAATTTATGCTATACATATTCATTTATATTGGTATTTTATTATCATATACACTAATCATATTTATAGAATTAGTATTATATTAATAGTCCTATAATATTCCATTAGTTTGTATAACAAAATTTATTTAGCTATGTTGTTTTCTATGATTAAACATTTGGAACAATTGAGAATTTTAACTATCATAGCTAGTGTTACAAGAAACATATTTTTGCATGTAGCTTTTCCTGTTGATTTATTTTCTTAGAGTTCATTCATTCATCATTAATTCAACATTTTATTGAAATGCAAGTTTTTGTTTGGCACTCTGCTAGTTGCTAGAGATAAAAAATTGACACTTAAAAAGACCACTGCTCCTAAGTAGGTCATGATTATAAGTACATAAACAAGTGGCCTAATTGTGCTTTTAAGTATACAATTCAAGTATGTACAAAATATTGTTGTGATATAAAAGAGGAAATATAAGCAATTCTGCAAGGGGGAACTGGTTAGGAAGATCAAGAGAAAGTAAAATAATTTTCCCATAAAGACATAGCCTGATGAAATTTGAATACAACCTGCCCTGTGAGCTTATTCTGTAACACAGAATCTCTCCTAAAGCAATTATACTGCAACTGGATATAAAGGAAATGAGTTTGAGAGAGTAGAGGAAGTATAATATGTCAGGTTTCATGGCTTTGTGAATTTTTAAGATTCAGAAGTGGAATTAATAGGCCAAAAATTCAGAAGATATTTATAATCCTGGAAATGTATTGGAATATTTATTTCAAAAGAGTTTTGTCAAACTGGTATGTAACTATAAAAACCTCACCTGGAAAATGGCCCTGTGGTCTAGTGGTTCAAGTTCCGCACACTCCGCTTTGGCGGCCCGGGTTTGCGGGTTCGGATCCTGGGCGTGAACCTACGCCACTCATCAGCCATGCTGTGGAGGCATCCCACATACAAAATAGAGGAAGATTGGCACAGATGTGAGCTCAGGGCGAATCTTCTTCACCAACAAAAAAAACCTCTCCTGGATAGGGTGTTCTAAAATAATTTGGGAAAACATTTTTCAGAAAATTTTTACAATGGCAATCATATATACTACTCATAAAAGATAGGGAAAATGAGTAGGTGTTCATAAATTTCTAGACCAAATTATGTATTTAGTTCTTATAACTAAAATTTTTCAAAGTATAAATTTTATTTGTAAATGTAGATATAAGATTTAATCATATGTAGTCAATACTTGTAAGTATTTTGACAAATGATAGTTTCTGAATCTCAGTTTTCATTTCTTATTTAACTTTATTTAATTTTTGGCTTTATATTAGAAATTGGCCAAGAGTTTCTTTTTAAACAAGCGAGTGACTTTTATTGTTTTTCTATTATATTTTTCTAGGGTCTGCCAGGCCCACCTGGTGAAAAAGGTGAAAATGGAGATGTTGGTCCCATGGTAAGTTTTGATTTTTTAGCGTTTGACGGATATTGTGGATTTCCACATTATGAATATCTTTCTTAAGGTTTACTAATATGAGCCAAGTAGTCCTAAAGATTATGACAGTTCAGATTGATTCCTCTGCTTTTCCTCACCCAACCTGCATCTGCGACCATCAAAGGCTCTCACATCATCTTGAATATATCATTTCTCATTCTCTCTTTGAAGTAATGTTATATACATACACCACATTCACTGGTTTATATATTGTTGTATAATTTTCATTTATATGTGTATATATTATTGAGGTGTATATAGTCAACTGTCACACATGAGTTATTTCTTAGTCTTTAGCTCTGGACTGATGTGGAGTAGATAAAGAATAGATAATAGTCACCCAAGAGTTGGATAATTAGCAAATGTTAACACCGTATTAAAAATTAACTGTACTTTGAAACAAAGTCTTAATTTAATAAGGAATTCTGTCTTCATTAGAATGTTAAGACATAATTATTTTCATTTATTGATTCTGGCTTTCTGCTCTAAGTCTAATAGATCAACTGAAAATTTGAAATACATATATTTGTTTATTAAGCACTACCTTGAATAAGGAAACAATTAGCCAAAGTAATTGAAATCTATAATGAAATGTAGCGAGCACATTTCTTAATTGCTCCTTCCTCTCAAAAGCATTGCCCTCAATTTTTGCTTCCTTCAGAATACATATTTTGATATTTTTACACATGCATTTTACTTTCTTCAAATAAGAAATAATTCTTATCATTGCAATAAACCTAACAACAGGGAATGCATAATAAACATTGCTGATTCAAATAATTGGTGAATACTCCAAGGAGCATCAGCTACATGGCAAGCTCCTTTCTAAGTATGATTGCTGTGGTTTCCTGAATCATTAGTACATTCTCCCAGACCTATGGTTATAGCTAATAGTAGAGAAGCTTTTCAAGTATGACATTAGAATAAGCTGTGACCTTTAAAAAAATACTAATTCCCTGGTATTCACTATAGACTGATTTAATTACAAGCTTGAAGTAAGGGGTTCTGGTCATCAGTATTTATAAAAAGTACATTGCCCTGAGGTAGTGTTAATGCACAACCAGGAGAGAGAACCTTTCTCTTAGGAATACAACTGGTTAATCTTACTTCAATTCTAGCATGTAGAACATGAGAGCAGACACAAAAAACAAAGATATACAACTGAAAAACAAAAATACTTTTATAGAATTAATGAATTCTAAATCTACTCAAGCACCATTTCTTGTTCCAACTCTATATTCCCTTTGTACTCTAGCATGCTAGCATATTCCAGCATAAAATATTTCTAGTTGTATTATGAATTCCTTATATCAAATAGTAGCAATAGACTTTTCTAATTTTTCATCAAATTGTTTTTCCTACAGTCCTAATTTCCCCATAGTTATGTGTAAAGAATCATTTGCTAACATGATGTTGTATCCATCAACAATGACATAACCTTGATATGCTTCACTGACTATGATTTTACAGGCTGAAACTTCTTTTAGTTTTCTTAATCACAAAATGAAAATATTAGAAATGCGTTTGAGTTTGGCTTTCATAAACTTTGATATTCATCTCTTATAGGGTCCACCTGGTCCTCCAGGCCCAAGAGGCCCTCAAGGTCCCAATGGAGCTGATGTAAGAATTGTAAAATATATGTTAATTATTTTGAAGTAGTATAGATGTTGATATTGTTTAATGCCAGATGGTGTCTAAGGTACAATGGAGATAATTACATTATTGTTTAATGTTAGAAGTAGACAAGAGCTCAAGGATCATCTACTCCATTTCATTTTATAGAAAAAGAAACAGGCTTTATAGAGAACTAGTCACCACAAATACAAAATAGGTACAAAGTTCACATTCAATATATTTTTATTAGTGAGTGAGAAATATTATTTGTATTATAATGAACAATATTGTTCTGTTCAACATTCTGAGACTGTGCCTTGCATATAGTAACTGTTCAATATTCCTGAATTGTTTCAAATTTAAATTTTATCTCTGATAATGGCATAAGGAGATGGTTTGTAATTGGCTTTGATTGTACTAGCCTATGTCTTTACTCCAAATATCCTTTAAGTATGCATCTGTCATCAGTGGCTTTTGTTGAAAAGCTTCCTTTTTCTATTTCAGTCTATAAAATATGTAAGAGTAATATGTGCATGATAATATGTGTACTTCTTACCTTGTAAAATGTTTTTTCTCAATTACTTAAAGATGATCTCCCCCAAGCTTAAAAATTGACTCACTGTTCCAACATTATAGAATTTTGAAATATAGTGCCATATTTTTCTTACTCTTACCATTAACAAATTTATAGGCTTTGACGTTCTCTCTCCTTCTGACTTCACCTCTTCACGATGAACAAGTCATTTATTCTTGTCTTTATTGCTTTTCTGTTATGCCCCTTTTAATTCTGGCAGGCCAGACTGGTTAAAACAGACTAGGAACAGATGAACTAAAAGAGCTTTTAGGTTTTAATTCCCCTTAAGTAATTTAAAGGCTAAGATGTGGTTTATAATGTTTTTTGCATGGATTATGCAATTCTTAACCAGAGTCATATTTTGATCCGCAAATATCTCCAAAATTATCCTTGAAAACCAACCTGTTCAATGATCAGAGAGACTGAAATTATGTTCTGAGTACCAACTGACATGACTAGAGTTGGAAAGTCTTCTGCTTTATATTCAAAATTCTGGTGAAGTTGAACATCAATGAAATATAATTAAATTATTTGCTATCCAGTAAATTTGGCAACTCAGTAAAGGCATCATTTTGTTCCATCCTTCAAATGACTTGCAATGTTCATGCATATATTTTTCTCTCTTTGAGAACAACTAGATATATATTTATGAATTTATTATTTCATTAAAAGAATGAGGATAACTGTATTTTTTCTACACTGCAGGGACCACAAGGACCCCCAGGATCCATTGGTTCAGTTGGTGGTGTTGGAGAAAAGGTAAGGAGTGCAGTGACGTATAGTTTCAAACAGCAAGAATGGAGGACTTTGATAATACTGGCTAATATTTTAAGTGCATCTAGTATTACTATCTTTCTAAGTATCTTACACGTAGTTATATGAATCACAGCTCTTTTGCTCTAGTAGTTAAATAATTAAAGGTAAAACAATTTTGAGTTAGCATGTTTTTGATTGCCAGGTATTATACTGAGTAATGCACATGAATTATTTCCCTTAATCAACACAGCCACCCCATGATGATGGTACTATTATTATTATTACCCATATTTTTAAGCTGAGAAAGCTGAAGCTTAGAGAATTTCAGTAATTTCATCAAGGTTTTGTCATTAGAAACTGATTAAGTCAGGAGCCAACCATGTATGCCTGAGTAGACTAAGTGTTTCTGGTAACTCATTACCGAAAATAAAAGAAATTGGTTGATGTAACTGACTTAAAAGGGAAAAAGGAATCTTTTGACTTACAAAAGAATTAATCATCTTGTCACGTTTGGAGTTATATTTTCATTACTAATACTAGGACCTGTATTTGGTACTTTTCACGAGTTGGCTTGTGCCATAACATTCGGGCTCAGAGTAGCTTCCTTTTCTCATGAACATGATTTCATTTAAAACATCTGCTCTTCCTTTTTATGAAATTGTCAGAATGATTCTCTGATTTCTTCTTTAGGCATTCATGCTCATTTCTTAATGGAATTTTCAAGGAAATTGACATTGATATTTGCTTCCTTTAAAAGATAAATTATTTGCCAGTTTTGAGGGATGAAAATTAAATTTCACACCGTGAAATATTATATAGTGATAAAAATGTAGAAATTTCCTGAATTTGCCGGTTATTAATTAAATGATATCAGAAGGATAGACCAATCCTAATCGTAACAATCATTCTGTTGTTTGATCTTAAAAATTTTTGAATATCATATCTTGTACTTAAATTCATTTATTTCAGTTAAAGGATTTAACCCTCAGAAAAAGAAATATAAGAGGATTAGAATATAGTATTTTAATGTTTATTTCTGCTCAACCCCCACATTCTAGTATTTTGATTATAATTAATCCTATATGATTTTTCAGATAGTTTCTTATTTACTAAATTAGAAACATTTTAAAGTTATTAGATAATTTTTACTGAATAAGCAGTCTAGATTTTTTGCTTGACTGTCTTTTTGTTTAAAGTCTTAAATTTAAAGTTTTGTGTTGAAAAGATGCAGGTGAGCTGGGGGTGGGATTGAAAGGACATTTTTCTCTGTGTCCAGTTGTTGTACGAAGAACAGCAGAAGAGACAACTGGTCCCCGATGGTATCACTGTATTAGACAGATGAAGACAGCCTTGCACTTTTCCTCCTTCTTTGCATCATCCCCTTTTGGCTCTAACGATGACTAGATAGTTGTGAGAACTAGTCTCTGGTTTTAGTTTTGCCCACATAGCAAATTCTAAAACCATTTAATAGCCTCTTCAGCTTATCTTACTTGTTTCCTCAAGTTTTGGGGTGCAGTGGGAACAGTTTTAAGTACTTTAGTTGCTTCTTTTATGGTTTTGTCTTTTGTGTTGCTCTTGAAGATAAACATGGATGCCAGATGTTTGGAGTTTTGGGAAACTCCCTTTCCATACTGTTTCCATTTGTTTAAAGCCGATCTGGGAACACCTTGCCAACTTTGAGTCTTAAGAGAATGATTCAGTCAATCAAGATGATGATTCGGCTTCTTACAATTAAAATGTACCTGATTCTAAATTTGTAACACTAAAAAATAAAGTTTTAATTTTTCTCTATTAAAAAATTCTTTTTTATGTGACAGATAGCAGGATAAAAAGAAAATTCTAATTTTAATTTTCTTCAGAATCTGGGGTATTATAAGCTGCTGTAGATTACAGATTTCTGACATCAGCTTTGATTCTGGCTGAATGCTTCCCCATTTCTATTTTGGAAAATTTATTCTCAGTCGCTAATTCAATGGAAAAAAAAAAGAAAAGAAAGGCTGATATCGTTTAGTCATGCTGCACTTTGTTTAAATATGTTTAACCTGTTTTTTATGTAACTTATATTTGCTATAGATGGATTTTGCACTTCAATGATTTCCTCAAAACAAGGAAATATATCAGGACATTACCTTAAGATTTAATGTATATTTTATGACTTTAGGCATACAGAATATTTTGCTGTTCCTTCTGAAGGGAGCTTTAACCTGAACAAGTGTGTTATAGAATGGGGTAAAATGGTTACAGGATAAGTAATAATAAATTTTTAATCTAGCACCTCCTTCATATGCCAGTGCTCTTCACAGAATTTATATTTTTGTATATCAATTATTATTCTTTAGAATGAATGTACTGTAGCTTTGTTGATACTAGAAATACAGATTTAATCCCTATAATGTAGTCTTGTTGCAATATTTTATTTCTTTACTTGTAATTTTGTCCCATCCTCTTTCAAAAGACTTGAAATGAGACATTTTTAGATAATATTAATTTCATCTTAATTAATTGCTATTTATATTGGGGTCTAACATACAAAATGGTAATTTTCATTTTTTTTTGAACAAATGAATATTAATGCACTGTTCTTGGAAAGAAGAGACTTTGTAGTAAAAACTCGTCTTTAAATATTGACAATTATTTAAACCCATCTCTTTACCACCTATCATTTCCCTCATTAAAAAAAACGGAAATAGTCTTTTCAGAATCTACTTAAGTTTAACTTTATAGTGGACAAGGCATAAAGGGGAACAACCAAATATACAAAGGGTGACTAAAAGAAATGTAGTTATTTCTCCTCTAGTTCTATATCACCATGGGTTAATGTGGTGCATTAGAAAGCATTTTGTACATGGTCGATAGATTTCCTATATTTCTTTTTTCCCCCAGCTCTATTGAGGTATAACTGACAAATAAACATTGCATATATTTAAGGTGTACAACTTTATGTTTTGATATATGTATACCTTGTGACATAATTCCCATGCTCAAGCTAATTAACACATCCATCACCTCACATAGTTACCATTTTTATATGTGTGGTAAGAACACTTGAGATCTACCCTAGCAAATTTCAAGTATGCAATACAGTATTTTTAACTATAGTTACATTACTGTACATTAGCTCTCCAGGACTTATTTATCTGGTGTATCTGAAATCTTGTACCCTTTGACCAACATTTCCCCATGTTCCCCACTCCCCACCCCCTGGTGACCACCATTCTACTCTGCTTGTATGAGTTTGGCTATTTTAAATTCCGCACATAAGTGAGATCTTGCAGTATACTGTATATTTTCCACATATAAAGCATTTTAATCTGGACATTTTACAGTTGACTTGAATGGCAAATTGCTTAGGTTTTGTTTCAAAGATATGAATAATGGCTCATAAAAATGTCACATATATCATTCCATCATACTGAGATGGCTGAATGATTCATTGCACTGTAAATAATGTAAATGCAATATTTTACTTCTACAGTTTATCTAAGATAAATGGAAATATTTGCTACTCATCTTGAGAGAGAAACTAATTTACACACAATAATACTACTAATAAATTCCTAGAAAGTCCTTGCTATCTTCCATCATTATGCAGATAATTCAAAAAGTTAAAATATGTGCACATTCTCAAAGAGTAAGAAATTATATACACAAAATGCTCTCTCTCCTGGAATTATGTTTATATTTAATATAACACATTTTAAGCTAATTGGTGAGCAATGGGTTTGTGCCAGGAATATTGGAAATAACAGAGTTAAAAATTGAAGGAAATTCAAGCCTCACATTTTTTTAAAATTTAGAAAAATTTTCTCTTTAGAATTTCTAGTACTACTGATTTTGTGTAGAAACATGGTACATGAATGTACTCTATGACTTCCCTTGGATGATTATTTGAATGAAATATTATGTTTGTATGTATTTCTGTGTGAAGAGTTAGTAACAGACTTTCATAATTAAAACCTACTAGTCTAGGAGGTTTATTTATTAGTCCACTGAGTTAAAAAATAGTGATCCTTATCCATACAAGGAGATTATAAAGGCTACCAAATGTATAATATGTATATCCTCAAAAGGAGCAGTTTTAATTAGTATCTAAGTACTTTTATGTATCTTGATAAATACAATCTTTTTCTATGTTCTTTAGGGCTCTACTAAATATATTTTCTAGGATAGCCATAATGCTACCAAATTATTTGCTTATTGGTTATAGCAAAGATAAAGTGAATTCATATTTTAGTAATAACACAATTTTAAATTAATAATCAATAAACTTAATTATAATATGAATATTGATGCCACACACATACACAATTTGTTAGGAACATGCAGATGTCTGTTTTGTGTGGTTTAGTGGAAACTTGGATTAATGCTCTGGCTATTGACTAACTGATGACAGTTGTAGCATCCCTCCTATCCAGTTCTGTCTCCTCACCTCAGAAATAAAAGTATTGAGGTCAGTAATAGGAAAAGTGCTTTCCTCTTATTAAAGTTTTGCAGTGCCTTTTAAACAATATAGGGATTTAAGGGCTAGTCTAAAATGTCATGGTCATCATTGAAGGCAGTTTTACAAATGTAAACATCACTTCTGTGTTCTGATACTCATTTGATCTCTTCTTTATAGGGCGAGCCTGGAGAAGCAGGGAACCCAGGGCCTCCTGGGGAAGCAGGCACAGGCGTGAGTGCTGTCTTATGGTCAATATAAGGTGTTACGGTCCAGAAATTTGTTTTAGAGCATTTTAAATGTGTAATTTAATTCCTAGCTGTGATTCGGTTATAGGCTTTCCCTTTCTAACCCATTAAGAATAATGACAAATGCAAAGCCTTTTTGTTTAATAATTTTGCATATCCTCTGCATGTTTCAATTCACGTAGAAATTGGAAACAAATCATATTTGCATATGTTAAAGCATTAAAACTATAAGCTGTTTATTGTACAATTTTTTTGATGGACTGACCACAAAAGAAGCAAACAAACTCTGCTACACCAAATAAACATTTATGAATTTTAATACGTATTAAGGATCGCATTATTCTAACTTAGATTGTTTTAAACCAGGAGTAAATTTCACCCCCGGGAAACATTTAGCAATGTCTGGAGATGTTTTTGGTTGTCACACTTGGAGGAGTGGTAGCTGCAGGCATCTAATTATTAGGGGCCAGGGGTGCTGTTAAACATCTTGCAATGCACAGCACAGCCCCCCCCGCCCAGCAAAGATTTGTCTGACCCGGTGTGTTGAGGTTAAGAATCTCTGATTTGAAGCTTGTAAGGTAATCCTTCTTTTTCTTACATTGTGTAGGGTCCCAAAGGAGAAAGAGGAGAGAAAGGAGAAGCTGGCCCGCCGGGTGCTGCGGGGCCTCCCGGTGCTAAGGGACCCCCAGGTGACGATGGCCCTAAGGGTAACCCGGTAAGTGAGCTTGGTCCCCTGTAAAGTGGCGTCTAAGTCAAAGCCACTCTGGAGCTTCTCGTAGAAAGATGAGAAATCGTGAGACTCTGGCCCATAGCTGGTGGAGCGGATTTTTCTTCATTTTGTATATTCACAAGCATTCTCAATTGACTTCAGTTTTTAAAAATTTTCTTACGGGAAAAGAGAAATACTCTCACATAGTTTTACCATGACTTTTACCTCTTAAACTTCAGAATATCATGACTTTATAAAAACATATTTTTCATTTATTTCCTTTCCTTTAAAAAAACATCATTTTAGGGTCCTGTTGGTTTTCCTGGAGATCCCGGTCCTCCTGGGGAACCTGGCCCTGCAGTAAGTATCATGGAAAAATAAAGGAGTTATTTTGGTGGAGATGTTCGCAGTGTCTCTATTGTTCACAATTAAAGAAAATTCTTAATTACTTGGTGGACCCCCAAAAATCGAAAGAAAAACAAAATGCAATCACAACTACAACAATAAAATTCATGTATTGTTGGAAACTATTAGACCTATGTTTCATGCTTATTCTCTCCATTTGTATTAGTTTTCCAGACTTTGTTGGGTTGTACAAACTAATTATCTGAGTAACAGCATTACTATTATTTGGGTCACAGGATCCTTGCTTTTATCCCAAACTCTTCTATAATGCAAATTCTGTCTCAAATTGTGCCCTATCTGTTCATGGTGAAAGGATGCTGTGGCCTGATTCACTAGTTACCTCCTCTTCCTTTCCTTATTTTAAGACCATACTATATTTTAAATTTGATGTAGTAGCAATTTCACAAATCTTTATGGAAAGAGTGAAAGACACCACAATCTGTAAAAAAACAATTGAAAAAACATAATAGTACTTTTCTTTGTCCATGTGGTAATAACTTATCTCAGGGACTAAGATAGTACATTGTACCTTTTTACTCTGAAAAACTGAATTAGTAGTGAGAAATATCTGGATTCGTTTTCTGTTGCCCACTATAGGGTCAAGACGGTGTGGGTGGGGACAAGGGCGAAGATGGAGATCCTGGTCAACCGGTAAGTAAGCCCATTATTTTTATTTAATTTTCACATAGTCTCAAGACATTTTAAAGAAATAATCCGCTTTTCCAAAGCATTGCTATGTATGTACATATTTTTTTGAGAGAATTATCAATTAATGTTTGAATTCTAGTTCAAAGTCAAACTTACATGGAGTGTTTCTTACTTGATGTGATTTAAGAGATATAAGCAAAGCTTTTATGATAAAAAATGTAGTCATGTCGGCCGGCCCCGTGGCTTAGCGGTTAAGTGCGCGCGCTCCGCTGCTGGCGGCCCGGGTTCGGATCCCGGGCGTGCACCAACGCACCACTTCTCTGGCCATGCTGAGGCCGCGTCCCACATACAGCTGCTGGAGGGATGTGCAGCTATGACAGACAACTATCTACTGGGGCTTTGGGGGAAAAATAAATAAATAAAAATTAAAAAAAAAAAAATGTAGTCATGTCATGCTAATGATTTTGTCATACTATAGCAACTTCAGCTATCTATCCATCCATCTATGGTTAAATAAAAAGTTATTTTAAAAAGACAAATAAGGGGGCTGGCCCAGTGGTGTAGCGGTTAAGTGCCCGTGGTCCGCTGCAGTGGCCTGGGGTTCACCGGTTCAGATTCTGGGCGCGCACCGATGCACCTCTTGGCAAGCCATGCTGTGGCGGTGTCCCATATAAAGTGGAGGAAGATGGGCACGGATGTTAACACAGGGCCAATCTTCCTCAGCAAAAAAAGAGGAGGATTGTCAAATGTTAGCATAGGGCTGATCTTCCTCACAAAAAAACTTAAAAAAATTAAAAAAGATAAAAAGACCAATAAGGGGGCTGGCCCAGTGGCATAGCAGTTCAGTTCGTGGCTCCACTTTGGTGGCCCAAGGTTCGCAGGTTCGGATCCCGGGCGTGGACCCACGCACCACTTACCAAGTCATGCTGTGGCTATGTCCCATATAAAGTAGAGGAACATGGGCACGGATGTTAGCCCAGGGCCAATCTTCCTCAGCAAAAAAGAGGAGGATTGGCAATAGATGTTAGCTCAGAGCTAGTCTTCCTCACAAAAAAAAGACAAACAAAAAAACACAAATAGGACTGAAATGAAGAAAACCATGTTATCACCCTATCATTAGCATGAATTACTTCAATTACTAACCTAAATGAACTCAGCATTGTATTGGACTATTTTTTTTTTTATTTGGGAATGGCACAGTAGGGGGCTTTGGCCATGTGTGGTTATTTAGGGAGGAAGTAAAGGAGGGCACTAACTTAAGTAGGAGCCAAAGACAAACTGCATCCCTAACACACTTTGTCTCTAGAGCCATCCCCACTCGATATCTGCAGTCAAAGAGATCTAGGCTTCTTTTGTGTCAATAAGACTTGCAGGTCATATCCCAGCATGTTGCATACTCCTTGGCATAAAAATGCTAGTGTTGCACAAGAAGAAATTTAGAGGTAATAGTTTTATGGTTCTATAAATATATGTGATATGAGTAGAATTATTAACAATATAATTCTATTAATTAGTATGTCTATTGGAAGCTTGCCAGATATAAAGGAGCATCTTTTAAAAGTACACAGTTTTACATAGAAGGAATTTGATTCACTTTCTTTCAGCTATGAAGAAATTTTCCATATGAATTTACCAGCTCTAACTATAGATATCTAAAGGAAGTTTAGGTATCTGAAATAGGGCTGAGATTTTCTAGGAAAGATAGATGTGGGGAAATGAAGAAAGAAGGTTGGTCTACATTTCGAAAAGTGCTGTGGGTCACAATAATAATTTCTTAAAAGGTATTTTTCATATTTTATAGGGTCCTCCTGGTCCATCTGGTGAGGCTGGCCCACCAGGTCCTCCTGGAAAAAGAGTAAGTTTTTGAAATTCTTTGTTTGAAACGTCCGCTGATTACCCACTAAGCATATAAATTGATATAATATATGTAAGCTTTAAGCTGCACATTATAAGGATGCTGAAAAATATAAGTCCTAGACAATAATTTCTTAAATTTGTCAAAATACATATTGGAATAGGACATACTTTCACTGTCTCTCTGTCACAATGAAAATGAGAAGAAAACAACTTATGGAATTTCCCACTTCTCTGTGCTTAGGTCTTCCCTCTGTACAAATGTGGTAGCCTGTTATAAAAGACTCTGATGGTACCCTGAACATCAATTCCTGGTGCACTACAGGGAGATGTGACGCCGAGAATCCAGTGCTAGTTTAAAACATTGTAAAAACCTGAATGCGGTATCAATAGAATGAGCTCAGGAATCAGTATATAGTGTTAGATTGGTTTACATTGTTACACTTGCCTGATTCAGAATCAATAGCAGGATTGTAACAAAGGGGTATAGAAAAATATAAATAAATAGAGCTTGTTCAAAATATTGGCTACTGTAGAGCCTAGGAGACTAACTTTACTGTCTTTTTCTTACTATTGTACTATTTTCATAATAAAAACAATCTCTGTTGACCTGCCTCTTGCACCACTTACATCAATACACAGTGTTCTCCTGCACCTCCTGTAATCTATTTTCCGACCTACCCATGAACAAAATATGTGGTAAACATCAAAATACATTTATTAGGCTCATTCCCCTTTTAGTAATCCAAAGTGTAACGTGATTTTTGAGATTTGTTGCCTATTTTTACCTGCAGTCTGAATGCATTTAAACTTTCCAGATGAATGAGTAGCTGTTCTATTATTGCAGACCTTTCAGAAGAATAATTATATAAGATGTCTTTGAGAATGGGTTGAAATCTTTCCTGAGAAAACATGAAAACTTTTTTTTCTTTCTCCCAGCCTCAAATGATGTTATTTAATGTAGTGGCTAACAGGCAATGAAGCCATACTACCTGGCCTTTTACCCGGCTCTACCATTTATTACCTGTATTGCCTGGGGCAAGTTACTTATCCTCTCTCTTTCTCAGAGAAGGCCTACTACCTAGGGTTTGGCCGAACATAAGATAACTCATATAATACAAAAATAATAATATATGTTCATATATTAACTGTTAATGTGTTAGCTTTTAGTTATGAAATAATTTTTGTGCTCATAAATATTCAAGAACTATCATCTTGCAGGTGTAAATTATAATGCTTTGATACGGAGAGAAACTCTCCTTCAAAGTATGGTAGCTACTAGAAAAGGAAAGACTCTATCAAAATCTATTTGAATATTTTGTTATATATGTTGGCAGCTTCTAAGCTCATTCCATTATTCAAGGCAAACTCTCAGCAGGTGCTATCCAATTTAGTTTCATTTTAAAATATGTCAAAAAAATTATTTATTTACAATCTTTGATAAATTCAGCTAAGTACCATTTGATATTTGGGATGAATTCTCTTAATGTGGTGCCAGAGTTACAGAATGAATTAGTTTTTTTAACTATACAGTGGTCAATAATGTGAATTACTGATTTTGAAAACAACTGAATAACTTTGAAATTTAAAAAAAGTAGGGGCCGGCCCCATAGCATAGCAGTTACGTGCGTGCGCTCTGCTGCTGGCGGCCCGGGTTCGGATCCCCGGCGCGCACCGCTGCACTGCTTGTCAGGCCGTGCTGTGGCGGCGTCCCGTATAAAGTAGAGGAAGATGGGCATGGATGTTAGCTCAGGGCCAGTCTTCCTCAGCAAAAGGAGGAGGATTGGCATGGATGTTAGCGCAGAGCTGGTCTTCCTCACAAAACAAAAGTAAATAAATAGAAACAATTTACTACAGACCATGAATGGAAACGTGCAAAAAACAAAAAAGGACACGTTGGTGCGAACCAGTATATCACATGCCCCTTTTGGATTAATATATCACCCAAAAGTTTGAGTAATAGATAACTCACACAAACTTCTAGAAAGACTTCCATTCAATTCTAGAATTGAGAAAATGTGATAGAAAAGTCAGCACCAAAACAGATATTTAGATTATGCTCTGTTCTACAACACTGAGACAGTGCTGTGTAGTGGAAAGCCCATGTATTGCATTCTTATTCATTCACACCTGAATTGGACCTCTGCATTTACTGCTTAAATGTGGTCTAAAGTAAGAACATTAGTTAATCCCTGATTCTTAAATACTTTCTCTTTATAATGAGAATAAGGTTATATTTTTCACAGATTAGAAATACTTATAATAATAATACATGTTATGGAATACGCCATATAATATAATATAATATATTAATAGTGTATTAACAAGAACATAGTATACACTCAACAAGTTTTAATTATTTGTTTCTTTAAGAACATGAAGAAGAACGAATTTTTTCAATCCAAAATTTAACATTACATGGTATTGGTAACTTGCAAGTAATCGGCAAATTTTCTTCTTTAGATTTATCAGATAAAATTAGAAATACAAAAATCATATTACTCTGTTTCCTGCCAGTATTTCTAACTAGACAACCTGATTAAACTCTCTTGATTAAAAGGAGTAAACGATTTTGAAAAAATAAAAAAATGTTTAAATGTATCAATGAGATGAGTAAAAATAAGAAAATACGATAATGTGTTAGCAAAGTTATAACTGAACTGACATATAGATATATAGGCCAATGGTCTCAGTGAACAGAGAGACCCAAGATTACATAGAAACGTCATTTGTGACAAATTAGACACTGCAGATCAATGGATAAAGGATAGATTATTGAGTAAATCAATGCTGGGGCAATTGAATATCTATATGCAAGAAAATAAAATTGGACCTTACCTCTCTCCAATCACACCCAAAAAAATTTCAGAAGAAAGAATTACAATATTAAATGTGAAGAGAAAACTTTGGAATATTTTAGCAAAAATTAATGGAGAATAAATTTGTGAACTCTAGTCACAAATTCTGGTCAAATAGTTGTGACCAGAATGGGAAAGATTGATGTATCAAATATATGAGAATTAAAAGTTTGTTTATCTAAACAAACACATAGATACAGAGATTGGATTGGTGGTTACCAGAGGGGAAGGGGGGAGGGAGGAGGGTGAAAGGGATAATTCGGTACATGTGTGTGGTGATGGGTTGTAATTAGTATTTTGGTGGTGAACATGATGTAATCTATGCAGAACTAGAAGTACAATGATGTACACCTGAAATTTTTACAATGTTATAAACCAATGTTACTGCAATAAACAAAAAATTAAAAAATAAATAAATAAATAAATAATAAAAGTTTGTTTATCTAAAAATACTGAAAGGCATTGAAAAGAAAAGATCCAATTAGGAGAAAATATTTCCAACATGTAGAAACTTTGCAGAGAAAAATTTTCCAGAGTATCTAAGTATATCCTACAGATTAAGAAAAAAAACTCAAACAACCAATAGAAAAAATCAGCAAAAGGCATGAAAAGGCATTTGACAGAAATGCTCCACAAACTCATGAAAAAGTGTATCTAGAAGTCAGAGAAACGTGTGTTAAAAATGATATTAAAATACCGCCTCACATCCATCAATTAACAAAAATTTAAGTCTGACAAACCAAATGCTAGAAAGAATATTTAAAAAAAAAAAACAATGAGGATTATCATACACAGCTATTGTGAGTTAATTGGTACAATTGCTGTAGGAGAATCGTTCTGTTATCTAGTAGAATTTAACATGAACTTTCCTACCATCTTGTCGTTTCATTCCTAAGTACATACCCTAAATGATATCTTACACGTCTTTACCAAGAGACACATATAAGAATGTTCATATCACTCTTGTTCATAATAACAATATAGAAAAGATAAATGCATTGAAATATATTTGTAAACTAAAATATCATGGCAATGAAAATGAATGTGTTGCAGATGCATGAATTAACATAAATGAATCTCAAACACCTGATGTTAAGAAGAAAATATATATAATGTTGAGCTGGATAAGATGTATTATATGATTTCATTTATATAATATGCAAAAAAACCTTTAAATATGTTATTTAGCATTCAAACATAAGCGGTAAGAATGATGAAAATTAAGGCAATCATTCATCAAAATTGAGGATGGTAGTTATTTCTCTGGGAGAAAGAGGGATGCAATAGTTGTGAGTGACATGTAGGAAGTTAATACATTTATATGTTAAGAGACTACAATATTAAAATACTTAACTGGGTCATTCCTTGTGTCCTATTTTTCTTTAGTATTATTAGAAAGTTCTTTGGTGGAGTTCTTTTTGGGGATGTTCTATCCTCTCATTTTAAATAACAATTTATACAAATATGATGAGCTATTTTTAATCCACTCCAGTCATTTGGTAGATAAAATTAGCAGACTTTGTATCCATGAGTTATTAATGACAGGAGAACGGTGATGACTGTGCAGTCCTTACAAAGCTATTGACATCCATTTTGATATAGCAGAAAAATCAATCTTAGCTCAGCCCGATTGAGCAATATTATGCAGGTCTTCCTCTTTTAGAATGCAGCATCATTAAATCTAACCTGAAAGCTATTTAACACAATGTGTTAAATTGTGTCCTATATTAGGTTTGGATAAACTGGAAGGCTTAATTGGCTTTATCTGTTTTACACAATAATCTATTTTCTTCAACAGAGTAAAATATATTTTTAATGGCTATAAAAGATTACTGTAGTGTCAACAATCTTATTATTAAAACTATAATTTGCTCTGATTTAACACTAGCAATTAATGCTTACATCCTTTTAAATTACAATTAACTAAACCAGCTAATTTAGTCAAGAGCTCTACCTTAACCTAAGAAAATAGATGGCTTAGCTGAAAAAAATAGAAATACAAATTATTTATGTAGGTCTTTCTCAGCATATGAACTGACACTCTTCATAGCTTAATATTAGCACATAAGTAGTCCCAAATGCTGTTGCATTAGAATCAAACAGACCTGGTTTCAAATTCTTGTTTTGTTACCCAGAAATTTAA